GGAGCCCCCCACCCGGAGCCCCCCACCCGGAGCCCCCCACCCGGAGCCCCCTACCTGTGACCTGCCAGCACTGCCTCGCCCATGCTGGGCAGTATGTCCCCGGTCAGCATGCGGAACGTGGTGGTCTTCCCGGCTCCATTCACACCAAGCAGTCCGAAACACTGCGGGGTGCCGCAGCTGGTGCTGGGGAGGCCCAGCCCTGACCCCCACCTTGGGTTCCCCTGGCAGCAGCCCTAATGGCTCAGGGGGACCAGCCCTGTCCTTGTGTTTTTGGAGCCTGGTGGCAGCCTTGAGTTCCGGCGTGGGCGGCTGTGGGCGAGGTGGAGCCTGGGACAGACCCTGGGGTACTGGAGAGGCACAACTCTGTTCTTCAGCGGGGAATGTGTTGGCCTTCTGTTTACCGACTACGGTAGGTATCCTACAAAGCCCCTACACAGGTGTGGGCACAACAGACTTCCAAATGTTGGCTGGCACGGGGTGAGCACAGTGATGCTTCATAAATGGAAGCATGCAGTAGGTGCTTAATTAATGAGGATATGTTGGCTCAAAACAGGAGTTCAAATCCTGGCACCCAGTCAGTGCTCAGTAAGTGGTGGTGGGCAGCAGGTTCCTGGAAGGGTCAGCCCTGCAGTGATGTGCAGCCTCCCACCCCCAGCACCAGGTCCTTCACGGGGACTCACCTCACCTGGGGGGATCCCCAGGCACAGGCGGTGGACAGCTGGCATCCTCTGCCCATGGTACACCTAGGAGGAGGCAGGTCCCTGAGAAAGGGGGTGGCCAGTGGGAGCCCCAGCCCAGCTCTCTGTGGCCACACCTACCTTGGTCAGGTCCCTGAGAACCAACACGTCCCCCTTGGTGGCCCCTCTGACCACCCGCTGCCGCTCGTGGGCCACATCCTCATCCTCCTCTCCCAGGGGTGGCAGCGTCCTCGGCTGGGGTCTGAAGACAGAGACACGGTGGGTCCCAGGTAGGTCCCTGGCCCTGCCACCCCACCCTGCTCCCCACTGACTGTGGCAGGAGGCGGCCGAGGTGCTGCAGCAGGAGCGTGAGCAGGAGGAAGAGGGGCCCCTGCACAGACATGGCCAGCAGGTTCTTGCCCACCACCTCCCAGTGCAGGGGCGACTGGAACTGCCTGTCACCTGTGGGGACAGGAAGGAAGGACTCTGTCCCAGGGAGTTGTGTCCTCCCCATCTGGCTCACCTGGATTCTCAAGGTAAAAGTCAAAGAAGACCTGGACAGGCTACTCAGCTGGGGGTCTCAGGGGCATAGAAAATAGAGGTCGGCCACCCCCCTCCCTTATTTAGGTCATTAGATTTCCAGTGATGTGCCACAAGACAAAATCAACTTTTATGACTTCTTTTCTACACCTCTGACTGGGCTCAACCTTGAGGCCACCTGGGGCTCTTGGGTCTCTCCCTGGAGGCTGTTGGTCTCCACTCTGTGTAACTGACTCTAGGACGGCACTTTTGAGGGTGCTGACCAGTCTCACAGGGCAGGAAGTTCTCACCCAGGCGCTCAAAAGCGTCAGCCATGGCCTGGTTCCGCACCATATCGATGAGCCCCCGGCCCAGGCAGAAGTGGGGGAAGACGAGGAAGATGCGTTTCAGGACGCGGCTCACCTCCTTCAGCTTCTGCTTGGGGGCAGGAAGAGGCAGTCGGTCRGTCGGGAGCTGAGGCCACACTGCAGCCCAGCCCCACCACCACCCCGCAGAGCCCAACCTGATCCGAGAAGAGCTCCAGCACGAAGGTAGCCATGCTGCCGTTGATGCCCACAAAGAGGTTGATGCAGGTGAGCACGACGTAAGCCGTGCTGGGCACGGAGAAGAAGAAGGAGGCCGGGTACATGAGTGGCGTGATTGACCAGCTGCAGGGCGACAGGACCTCACTGGGCACCCCTGGGAGGAGCAGGCCTCCCGGCGGGCCTCTGATCATGCAGATCCGGGCGGGCTGAGCTTTTAAGGCCACGGTGGAGATGACTGAATGGAAGGCTCCCAGTTTCCCACCCAGCTCCGCCTTGGCCCTCAGGAGCTGCTGCAGGGTCCCGTCTCCCTCGGTGCAGGGGGGAGGGCCTAAGAAGGAGCTGGAGGGACGGGGACCTCACCCATACAGTAGCAGCAGCAGCAGGAGGGCAGGCAGGTTGGCAGGGGCCACATACGCCTTCTGCTGGAAGACCAGGAAGATGAGCACCACGATGCACACAGCCACCAAGTAGTTGCACTGCACAGAGATGGACGCCGCCCTCCTCAGCCACTCTCAGCCCTGTGACCCCTCTGCTTCCTACTTTTGGGACATGAGAACATGATGTGTCCCACGGTCCTCAAGACCTCACCCCTGCGTGACCAGTCCCAGCCCAGAAGGGCCAAAGGGCAGCTAGCCCCCCACTCCTGGGCCGCCCCCGCACCATGTCCCAGACAAAGTTGCTCAGCCAGTAGAGGGTGGGGGGCAGGCCCCCGACGAGCTGCAGGTGTTTGGCTCGCGTGACACGCTCCTCAATGAGGACCAGGGTGAAGCTGGCCGGGATGAAGGACATGGCGAAGACCACACAGATGGAGACCAGCACGTCCACGGACGAGGCCATCCTGGGGGCGAGGGCACGAGGCTGCTCAGGGCCCGGCCACGCATGCCACGCAGGGATGAGGCTCCTGGACCGCCGTGGGTGGCGGAGAGGGCCTGAGCCACGTGGGGAGGGGTGGTCGAGCTGCTGGGCAGGAGACATTGCCCGGGAGGACCACGGGCGGGACAGGGACACGTGGAGTCTGGGGGGCTGGAGCGCGGTGGCCGGAGGTGGCCGTTACGCGGCCTCGGAGCAGGTCGCAGCCCTGGATGACAGAGTTCAAACCTGGCCACGCGGCAGCCACGCTGCCCCACACCTCAGAGCCACGGAGGTGGGCGGGCGCGGACTCACAGGGCAGCCTCGGACAGCTGCTCCTTGGTCAGGTTCAGGGGGTGGTTGAACGTCGTGATGCTGTAGGCCTGGTGGGCGGCGCCCCGGGGCAGGTGGGCATGCAGGAGTGCATTGTTGGCTCGGTTGACAAAGGCCACCATGGAGTGCCAGCCCTTGTTGTTGAACCAGATCTGTGGAGTGGAGGCCACAGAGTCAGGGTGGTCAAGGCTGGACCCTCAGGGCCATCCAGCCTCCACCCTGGGTTCTCACCTTGAGGCTGTGGTGAGCCTCCAGGCTGTGAGCCCACGCTGAGAGGTTGTGCAGGACCTGGTCCAGGGCCCCACCTGGCTGGGGACTCAGCAGGGCCCTCAGCTGTTCCACCGAATGGGCCACCTCCGTCCCTGAGGGCAGGTCTGGGTCTCGGCCCCCCAATGAGAAGCCCCCATACCTGGGGGGCACAGAAAGAAGAGCTGAGGGCCAGGGGGGTGCGCAGTGGGGCCAGCCACCCCAGGTCCCTCCTTACCTGACCTCATCCACCCACTTCTTAGTATTGAGGCTGTGGAGGACACAGACAGGGAGGGGGGATAGAGGCGCAGGGTCAGGCTGGGCATCTGGACCTGCCCCAATGTCCCTGCCCAGGCGCACCCGGCCCGAGGCCCAGCTGCAGCAGGCCGGGTGCCATGTGGTGCTTACCCCTGGCGCACCAGGCTTGGGTAGGTCTTCACCAGGAAGTCAGACAGGTTCCGGCCCGTCAAGTTTTGGACCACCTCCCCAGAGCTGGCCACTGCCTGGGGCGGTGGGAGGCCACCAGCCGCAGCCGGACAGTCGGGCAGCAGGCGGCGGGCACCAGGCTGGCTGCACTGGCAGGCTGGGGATGGAGACTCTGGGGTCCAGTTGCCACGGGCCAGGACCCTGGCCACATCAGCAGTGGCCTCAGGGACTGAGAACAGGCAGGAGAGGGCCCCTGGGCACTCCGGCAGCCTGTGGGTCAGGGTGCAGGGCTGTGGGCACCCACTGCTGGTTCTCTGGAAGCACGGTGGCTCCCAGCTCCCAAGTGCCACGGCAGGTGGGTCCCCCCCACCACAGCCCTGAGGGGACCCGGGGCCAGAGGGGGTCCAGGCCAGGCCTCACCTGTTGGAGGTGTTCTGCAGGTGGGCCTCCTCCAGTCCTGCCTGCCCCAGCAGCGCCTTGAGCAGGCGGCCATACCTGGGGTCCCCCTGGGTGTCCTCGCTGTGTGTGTGCAGATCAGAGCTGTGTCCCCAGGTGGCCAGCCCTCCCTCCACCAGCCCCTCTCCTCTGCACTCACCTGAAAAAGGACACCTGGGCGCCGTACATGGCAGGACTGAGCCGCAGAGCCGGGTAGTGCCCAAAAGGAGGCACGATGAGGCTGAACAGCAGGGCCAGGCCCACAAAGAGGGCGGGCAGCACAATCTGGAGGGGCATCCCCTCAGCTGCCACCTCCACGACCCTCCAGGCTTGCTCCTACCCTTCCCTGCTCCCGCTCTAGAACCACCCAGGGCTCCCTAGGGTCTTCAATAAATAGGCACAGGATGAAGCTATGGAAGCGAGACACTGAGGGGATGGCCAGAGGCGTCACCAGGGACTCCCCGGCACCTTCCTTTGTCCCAGGGCCCCCTCACCTGTGCAAACAGGCCCCAGCGGCTACGGCAGGCAAGCAGACAGCGCTTGAGAAGCAGGGCTCGGAGCTGCTGACGGGTCAGTGCCCAGCCCTGTACTCGTCCTGCAGTGGCCGGCGCAGAGCCCTGCAAGGCCTGGGTCTCTGGGGCCGACCCAGCTGTCGGGGGTGGGAAGGTCAGTGCTCTGGTGGTGGGGACCTTGGGGGATTGTGGGGTGCGGGACTCACCCAGCTCCCCCGGGTCCAGGGCTGGTTCCTCTGGCATGATCGTGGCCCCCGGGGTCCCCTCGGGGACAGCCAGGTGCACACAGGCCTGCTGCCCAGGGCTGCCATCTGCAGGGCCAATGGGGAACGGGCAGTGTTAGTGTTGTCTGGGGCCAGGGTCAAGGGTCATGGTGGAAAGGTCAGGACTCAGGCTAGGCCCTGGGGTCGACTCAGCCAGGCTTGAGACGAGAACCTGCTCTGGACCCAGGTCGGGGGCAAAGGTCACAAAGCTGCAGCCACACCTTCTGGGTCTGTGTCCGAGGCACAGTCCTCTGTCACCTTCAGGAAGATCTGGGGACACAGCACAGGGGCTCAGGGACCTGCCACCTCAGATGGCTTCTGAGCCTCCCCCACTCCTGGCGCAGTCTCCCCCAGGAACGCCCCCCTCGCCCCCTCGAGTAGCCAGCTCTGCTGCGTCCCCCAGGCTGCCCTCCTGGGCCCCGGGACTCCCCTGGCCCGCACCTCCTCGAGGCTGGTGTCTGAGATCCCATAACCACTGAGGCTCAGCGCCCCCAGCTGCTCATCCAGCTCCCGGAAGAGCCTGGCAAAGCCGCCATCCAGCGCACCCGCGTAGGGCAAGGCCAGCACCAGCTCGTGGGGCAGCTCCTCCACCAGCCGGGCCCCCGGCACCCAGCGCCGCACCAGGGCCAGGAGCTGAGGGGCACCTGCGTGAATGAGGTGCATCTAGGCCCTGAGGCCCGGGAGCCCCTCTCCCACCCGTCTCCTGGGGGAGGAGCCAACCCTAGGGGCGGAGGTCAGGGGCAAGAACTTGAGGGCAGGACTGGCTCAGGGTCCTTGGTCAGGGGGGCCTGTGTCTGGCTCAGCCCAGGACAGGTCAAAGGTCAGGGCCAGAGTGTGGGCTCAGCCAAGTTCAGGCACCTTCTGACACAGCCCAGGTGGGGGCATTGGAGTCTTGTTGCCCTGAACAGGACTCTGCTGCCCCCTCCCTGCCCGGGGGCCTCCCACCCAACTCACCCGCAGTGCTGCCCTGGCCAGAGCCCCTGCCGTCCTTCAAGTGGGTGTCCTCCTCATCCTGCAGACAGAGGGGCAGCCACAGATGTGGCCATCAGGCTGGACAGACCCATGGGGGTCAGGGCAGGGCCTAGCTCTGGGCCTCACCTTCACAGCACTGGCCAGGGGCTGGGGACTCTTCACCAGTGTCAAGTAGTAGCCAGAGCCCAAGTGACGGCGCAGGAAGAGTGGGGACCCACAGCAGCACAGGCGGCCACCTGCCACCATGGCCACCCGGTCTCCCAAGAGCTCGGCCTCATCCAGGTGGTGGGTAGAGAGGATCAGCGTGCGACCTGCACATAGGGCCCAGCCCCAGGTGTTGCTCCAGCTGTGGTCTTGCTGGCCACCTCCTGCCCACGGCTCCAAGCTCCTACTCACCTCTCAAAAGCCAGCCCGGCCCTCCCCCGTCAGATGTTTGGGCCCTGCAGCACAGTCCAGGGGAACCTCAAGCCACCCCCCACTCTCACCTTCCCGGTACTTGAGCAGCAGCTCCCAGATGCCTCGGCGGGATGTGGGATCAACACCAGCTGTGGGCTCATCCAGGATGACCACCCGAGTGTGACCCACAAAGGCCATGGCCACGGACAGCTTCCGCTGCATCCCACCTGGTGGGTTGGAGGATCCTGGCGTGACCCTCCCGGCGGTGGGTATGGCTGCCTGTCTCCTCCACCCACGGAGACCTCAAGGCCTGGCTCCTCCTGGTCCCCAGATCCGTCCCTCGGTTTCTCAAGACCCTAACCCTGTGGGCTCACCAGAGAGGTGGCGCGTCTGAGTCCACCGCTTGGGCACGAGTCCCACGTCCTGCAGCAGACGTTCCTGCTCAGCGCCCACCACTGTGGCAYGCGAGCCCTTGAGCTGCCCGTAGAACCACAGATGCTCCTCCACGGTCAGYCTGCGGCGAGGGGGGCGATGGCCACCAAGGGGTCCTGAAGCCGGCCCAGCCCACCCACAGGCACTCCAGGACGTACATGTCAAACAGCACGTTGTACTGCGGGCAGACCCCCAGGTGGGGCCGGATGGCCTCCATGCTGGACTGGACGTCATGGCCCAGGACAAAAGCTGAGCCACCACTGGGCGGGAAGAGGCCGCTCAGGATAGACCTGGGGGAGGCGGGAATCTGCCTGTCACCAGGAGAGGGGCTGCAAGCACTTACAGAGCACCTACTGAGGCTTACCCCAGGGGCACAAGGTCTGCACTTTACAGAGGAGGGGAACTGTGCTGAGAAGATGCCTGTCCCCGGGGTCGCGTGCACGGCCCCCTCCCCAGGCGCCTTCCCCGCTGACAGACAGGGAAGCTGAGACAGGAGGAGGAGGGAGGCCAGCCGCTCACAGCGTGGTGGTCTTGCCCGCCCCGTTGTGGCCCAGGAATGCAGTGATCTGGTCCTGGTAGAAGTCCAAGTTGAGCCCACGCAGGGCTGGCTGTGGGCAGCCGGGAAAGCGCTTCTCCAGTCCTCGAACAGAGACTCCAGGGCGCAGGCCCCAGGGCGCCTCCTCCACCAGCACTGAGGAGGGAGGCCGTCAGCTGTGGGCCCTGGGGGCCCCAACAGCAGGGTGAGGAATCAGGGAACTGTGAGGCGAGGGACGGTAGGAGGAGCCGGCCGGCGTAGTGTGCAGGGGCTGGGGAGGGTCTGATCTGGGGGAACCTGGCTTTTCACGGGGAGGAGTGGGGAGTCCAGACCGGGAAGCAGTTTTCAGGCTTGTAGGGCCTCACCCTTTGGGTCCTGCGGGGCAGGGATGGGGTCGGGACCCTTGGGGGGTCCAGGCCCACACCAGTAGCTCCTCCGAAAGGGAAAATTCCACGGTTCTGGGATCCCGTACTGGCCTGGGGGAGAGAGGCTGAGTCGTGCCGACTACCCRTGGAGTGTGCCGACTTCCAGCCACACACCTGGAGTCCAGACATCCAGGTAGGCGCTGGCTCTGCCTTTACAGGCAGCTACCTGTGCGAAGGTGCCAGGAAACACCACRTTCACCACCCTCACCACCCGAGGCACACCTCCAGGTACTTCATGGCAGGGAGGCACCACCCAAAGGAAGTGGTGCTCAGGCCGCAGCCAGAGACAGGGCCCCACTCGGGACCTAACTAGGTGTGTCCAGGTAGATGACCCAGACCTCCCGTGGGCACTAGGGCCCACCTGGGCACACAGCCTCCAGGTACCAGACGATGATGCCATAGAGGGTGGCGTCCAGCAGCAGGAGGCCTGAGACCTGCGCCAGGCTGAAGACATCTGCCGCCGGTCCCCGGCCCAAGTTGTGCCACTGTGCGCCCTCACCCTGCTCCTCCAGCAGGGCCAGGCTCTCGCACCCGAAGCCGAAGGCCACTGGGGACAGCAGGCTCTGTAGAGGAGTGGGTGGGTCAGAGGGTGGCCTGGTCCTGGGGTGTGCCCGCCAGGCCCCACCGGCCCTCACCATGGCCACACGGCCACCCGTGGGCAGCCTGTCCCTCCAGGCCACACAGAGCACGTAGGGCAGGTAGAGTGAGAAGTAGGCCAGGCCTCCACAGGCGGCCGCCAGGTTGGCACGCGAGAAGAAGATGCTCAGCAGAAAACTCTGGACCACAGTGGCTACCGCAAAGGCTGCCAAGAACAGGAAGACCACGGCCGGGTGGCTGTAGGGGAGGATGTCCCCCACCTGTGGAAAGCACAGGAGTCCAGGATTTGGCCCTGCCTCCTGCTTATAACCCGGGCACGCGCCCGTCCGGGGCCCAGAAGGCGGGGGCGCGCCCACCTTCAGCACCAGAACGAGCAGCGCCGCGCTGAACAGGAAGGGCCCCAGGCAGCTGAGAAACCAGCCGAGCCAGAGCACCGCGCGGCTGAGTCCCATGGCGCGCATGGTGTCACGCAGCCGCGTCTCCTTCTCCCGCACCACGGCCTTGACGGTCAGCGCCACTGAGTAGATCCAAGCCAGCGTCAGGAACAGGGGCAGCGACCGGCTCAGCACACGCAGGAACCTGTGGAACGGAACGCGACATGGTGGTGGATCATGGTGGTGGTCCACCTGGCAGGACCGTTCGCCTGGGAACCCAAGGCTCAGCGGCGGCGAAGGTTCCTCGCCCCCGGGACTGGCGCCTAGGAATTAAGTGCGGAGGGGCGCAGCGCTCACACGTCGTCCACGTAGCACGGGTAGGGCATCTGCTGCAGGTAGAGGCCAGCGCGGGGGTCCGTGCCACTGAGCACGCGGACAGCAGCGCGCTCCAGCAGGTCCTGCAGATACACGAAGCCGCCCCACACATAGCGCAGGTCAGTCAGAGGGTCCGCGGCCGGGCCAGGGTCCCAAAACCTGTGAGAGGGGAGTGGCGGGCAGCTGTAGGGAAGTGCTGGAAACTCTAAGGACCCGCCTTTCACAGCTGGATCTGCACCTTGCGGCTCAGTTACGCACCAGCCACGCCCACCACTGCCCTCAGCGGGGACCTACTTGGGTCTCCTCCCAGCCTAGGCCATGCCCACAGCGCCTAGGCACCCAGGTTCTGTCTGCGCTGAAGGTCCAGGGTTGGCCCCGTCCACCAAACTCTTGCTCCTTCCCACCTGTCCCTGATCTTATTGGTCCTGGTGACATCGTCGATGTCCATGCGGATCTTGATTTGCACGTGGCCGTGGCCAGGGCCCAGGTCTGGGGCTGGCTTCTTTGAGGAGTCTGCCGGGTCCTTGGGCTCCAGGAAGACGATGCCTGCCCAGAAGCGGTGCTCGGCCAGCAGCTGCAGGGCCCGCGACACCAGGGCTGCCTCCGAAGGCCAGGCCTCCAGCTTGTCCAGGGACACACACTAGGGGTATGAATCCCAGGAGCTGGGGTCTGCCCAGCATGGTACGGAGGACCCCATCTGGGTCAAGGCAGACTCCTCCCCAGGACCTCCAACTGTGTTCCCCCTCAGACTTCTGTGAAGCCCAGGGTATCTGTGACCAGGCCCTCTGCCGGACAGAGCCCACCTCCCCCAGGGCAAGATTTGCCTCCACCTTCGGATCCCCAGGTTGGCCTTGCCTCCTCTCCATGACTCAGACCCCAGGCAGATGGCTCACTTCCATGACTTGGCCTAGTGTGCCCATCAGATGTCCCACATCAGCGTGGGCATCGCGCCAGCTGTAGCCACCCATGCTGGGGTCCAGAAAGGACTGCAGGGCCTCCGTCGGGTCTGGGCCTCCTGGTCCTGGCTGCCACCCTGATCTGTCCTGCCTTTGAAGGAGCCTCTGGGGGGTGTCAGGTGAGGAAAGGTCGTATCAGGTACCCCTTCCTGTCTGTGGGGGCCCATCTGCCCTCCCACCACAACTTTCAACTTCCACCTCCATGCCCTGACCCAGCATGGCACCCCCACACCATGGACCCTCACCCTAGCCCACCTGCAGAATAGCCACATTGGCACTGTTGTTCATGAAGTCAAAGAGTTGGGGTCCCAGCACCCCCCAGACCTCCTGGATATCCTTCAGCAGAGCCAGCTCCTCGAAGGTCCGGTTGACCTGCAGGGAGGCAGCACCAGACCCGTCCTGGCCCTTCCCACTCACCACTTGCCACCCTCTGGCCTGGGGGCCCTGCTTCCATCTGTGCCTCRGAGCCTGTACCTGCTCTGCTGGTCTCTGACAGCTAACAGACTCCTACATGCAGCTTCCGAGACCTTCTGGCCTGGCTGTGACACACCTGGCCAGATACTGGGTGGTATCTGGCCACTCCCTCCCGCCTGGCACCCAGTGCCCTCACCTGGGCCATGAGCTGCCTCGTGAAATTCGTGTCAGGTGCAAACAGCAGTTTCCCCAGGATCAGCGGTTTCAGGCGCCTCCAGAGCAGGCGGGACAGTGGGTGGTCTCCCAGAGCCCCCATCAGCTCAGAGCAGGCAGGGCCTGGGGTGGGGGTGCTGTGAGGCCTTGCCCTCTACCCTCCGCCCCACTTCCCAGGTGGGGAAACAGGCCATTCACTTACTCAGGCCTTTGTCTGGCAGGTTTGGTGCTGGGCCCTGCCCCACCAGCTCCCTCAGGTCGCCAGCCTCGTACCAGTTGAGGGAGAGGCCCCCTGGGCTGCTAGGCCCCTTAGCACTGCAGAGGGCTTCTGACACCAGCTCCAGGGGGCCACCTGTCCCCCGGGGTCTCTGCAGCAGACTCCGAAGCTCCACCAGGCTGGGCAGCACCAGGAGCTAAGGCAAGGTCAACAGAGAGCACTGGCCATCCTCCCACAGCACCATCCATCTCCAAGCCTAACCCACAGCAGGGACTCTGCCAGGGGCACCTGAACCCTCAAGAAATGTGCCCAGGCCACCCATCACCACCCCAACCTGGCCAGGGTCAAGGCCGGGTGGAGCCTCACCTCCTGGGCCAGGTCTTTGACTGCTTCCACAAAGCTGTCCATGGACTCCTGGGCATGACCCAGGGCGCCCCCCAGGGATTCCTGTGGAGGAGACGGCAAGAACACCAATGGCCTCCTCTCTTCGTCCACCAGGTGTGTAGGGGCCCAGACCAGCACTTTACCCACAGGGAACTGAGGCTCTGAGAGGTACAGAGCCCAAGCTTCAGAAGGGCTCTCCCCAGCTCCGCGCCTCAAGCCTCCCAAAAGGGGGGCCAGACAAAGTCAGGAGAGGCTGAGGGGGGGGGGCACATTCAGGAGTGGACTTTTACTTGGGAAGATGCTGTTCTTAGAACGTTCTGTCCAGAAAAGGCAGATGGGGTAGGATTACAAGGGAGAACCCCAGTGGGTACACCTCCACCTGAAGCCACGCCTTGCTATCCCCCCCCCCAGCTGGGACCACGCCCAAGTCACTAGGACATGCAGTGATTGGTCCGAGCCCTGTGCTTCGAGACTGGAAGGCGTGGTCATTCAGAGTGGCTTCCCACAGCACAGGACTTGTTCAGTGGCACCCTGGAGTCTCCACCACCATGCTAGACAGGACAGGGCACACTGACTGCTCCAGGGGCCAGGCGCAGCCCCTGCAGGGTGAGCACTGGGGCTCCTGAAACAATGGCCCAGAGGCCGCTGCTCCCACCCAGCCCTGCCTCACCCCTGGCAGCAGCATCCCCAGAAGCTCAGCGGCCAGTGAAGGACGCTCCTGCTGCCAGTCAGTCTGTGGAGGCCAGGCTGGAGGAAGGACACACAGAAGCACAGGGTTGGCAAGCCTCTCCTGAAGCACCCCACTCCACCAGTGCCCGGCAGGCAGGCTGGGGCTCAGCGCTCAGCCCTCTAGGGCCCTCCCTACCTTTGCTGCTCATGGCCCTCAGCAGGGGCATCAGCTCTCCCAGGCCAGTCAGTGTCCTCTGGGCACTGGGACCCCCCAGTACAGTGCGGGCATCGGCCAGGAGCCGAGAGACCCTGGGGACAGAGTCGGGGAAGGAGGTGGGGTTTCGGGGGCACTCCTGGAGCACTGAGCCCACGGGGGGCCCCACCCAATGCCTCTTGCTCACAGGGAGTCATTGAAGTTGCTCAGGAGCCTGGGATTTTCACCAGGCGTTGGCTGCGGGAAGCAGGAGTTGTTCACATTGCAGATGAGGCCCTGGAGCCAGGGCACAGTGCCCGCGGACGGCAGTGGCTTGTTGGGGAAGTGGCCTGTGGGGAGATGCCAGCTCTGCCCACCTCTGCACCACCCCGCGACGGCACACTTCTAGCAATAGAGAGCTGGGCTGCAATCCCTGCAGCGGCTGCCCCTGGGCGGAGGGGGTGGCCCATCGCTCCTCCCCAGACAGTGTCTGGCCACGGGGACTCACATTCGTGGTGCTCCAGTGGGGGGTGGGAGTGGCGGACAGCCACCAGGATGAAGAAGAGGAAGAGGGGCCACAGCAACTCGACCAGGAGCTGTATCTGAGCAAAGAATGGGAGGGAGATCGTGGGCCCACGGGGGACACCTGCCCACCCCGCCCTGTTCCGCAGCTCGGGGCAGTTGCGTACCGGCTGTCTCTTGCGATACATGAAATTCTTCCAAAGCAGCAACATCAGCTGTGTCCGGAAAGCCATGGTGAGACTGAACAGGGACGGAGGGGTCGGGACAGAGGTCAGAAGGGTCAGTCTGAGGACGTGCTGTGTGGCTGCCGACAACTGCCTGCTCCTCTCTGAACCTGTCTCCCCTTCGACCCTGCAGGGCTCCCAGAAGTTCGGACCGAGCCAGGTGAAGAGCAGGTACTGGATCTAGGGACGCTCCTCGACCCAGAAGGAGTAAGCCAATGGGAACCCTGCCCGAAGCCGTCCTCGCAGCCGATTGGTTGCCAGGGCTGTCGCTCTCAGACCCCAGCCGGTAGCCCGCTGAGAAGACCCTCCTGAATTCTTAAGGGGCGGAGCCTCGGCTTAACGCTTTCACTCCCAGGCCCCACCCCCAGGCTTTTTGCAGGTCCCATCTCCGCCCCATCCCCCAGACCTTGGCCAGGGTTCCCTTTGGCCCTGTCGCCCAGTGATAACAGCAACGAATACTCACTGCGTTGGGCATGTCACACGCCCGGCTGGCAGTACTAGATTCCACTTCATCTTACAGAAGTGGAAACTGAGCTCAGGAAGGGGCACGTAAGCGGGAGGCCGAGCCCAGCTCTCCACCGCATCACGTATCGTCTCTCAGAGGGGGAGAGGCTCCAGCAACACCCGACCCTGTATTTCTCTAGGACTGTTCAGCTCTGGGCTACTTTCTTGCACAAATGGGGAAACTAAGGCTCCCAGAAAGGCGGGAAGTTGCCAAAGGCCAACATCCATCTGGGGACTAGGACCTAGGACCGCGACCYCCACCTCCTGGCCAGGATTCTTTCTGACGCAAGTGGCTTTTGGGATCTCTGGGGACCAACTCATTTACAAAGGGGTGGGGCTGGGGATCTCTAAGTGGGAAAGGCACGGCAGGTGTATGTTGGCAAAGGTCCCCTCAAGCGACTCCCATGCCCACTTCTTCCTACTGAGCTTTAGTGGTCAATTCAGCGCCCCCAACACTCACAGGAAGGAGAGGAAGGGTGAGTGGGACCGGAGCTCAGCCAGTACCTCTAATTCCCAGGGAAATTCGCCTTCCTCCCACCCCACCCCACCCCGCATTCTCGACTGTCGCCAGACAGTCCTCCTCTCCCGGTCCCCCTCACCGTTCCGGCCTCCAGCTCTGGCCCGCCTTCCCTCCGCGGCCGGGGGGCGTGGCCCCTTTAAGAGAAGCCCCCGGCCGGCTCAGCCCCGGCAGGCTCAGCGCCCCCCCTCCCACAGTTTACCGCCTTTTGCATCCCGGTGCTCACGGCCGCGCCCTACACGCCCCGGCCCCGGCCGCTGCCATTGGCCGCTGTGCCCGCCAGTCACTGGCCGGCCCCATCGGAGCCCCGCGCGCGGAGGGTTAGGGCGGGATCACAGCGGGGCTCCCCGAGCCGGCTTTCTTAAAGGGGCCGCGCGCCTCTTGCTGCWTCACTTGCGGGTGGCAACGCCACTAGTTCTTCCCTCGGGGCCGGGCCGGCGACCCGCCGGCGGGGACTGTCCCCGGGGAGCCTGGCTGTCTGTCACGTTGCCTAGTCCCCTGTAATACCAAGGCCCCCAGTGCAGGAGACCCTCTTCCCGTCTCCTGGAGTTCTGGGTTTCCAAGGTGGTGCTGGCTGGCTGGAGGGTGCGGATCCGCAGCCAGGAGGTGGCCTTGGGCGGAGGGAGGCCGAGGTGAGGACCAATGCAGAGCAGAGAGGGCAGGGGCAGAGGCAGCAGGCCTCCACTGCCAACCCACTCCCCGCTCCCCACACCCCAGAGTGAAGCTGGAAAGGCGACCCTACCACCCAACTCTCAGCACCCTCTTCTCTCTAAACAGAGGCTTTATTGCTTTTGGTCCGCACTGGCATTTCACATTATCTCAATGTCCAGGGCCCCTGGGTGGGGGTCATGTGCAGTAGGAGGTGAGGGATACTAGTTGGTGGACCCAGAAGGGGAAGAGCTGCAGGGGGAGGTCTTTAAAACCTACAGGACCTGAGGGGAGGGGGCCCTGGGTGGGCGGGGTCTGGTTTTCCCCAACCACTGAGATTCAGTGTCCTGTCGGGGCCTTGGTTTCCCCGCTGGGCCCCTGGGGAGGACCCAGGGCTGCTGATCTTATAGGAATGTGGTCCCTCAACAGGCCTAAAACATTTAGGGGCTACAGCCTGGACCCCTCCAAGGAGGCCCATTTCTGAGCACTCCCCTCTACCATGCCCTCCCCTTCCTCCTGAAAAAAAAATAAAAAATATCGTTTTCCTTGGTTAAAACTTCCTGAAACTTCAGCCGGTACAAAACCCACAGGCGTAGGGGGAAGAGATGAGGAAACCGGAATCCATTGGGGGGGGCCACCTTCCCCGCTGCCCCCTCCCCCTCCCCCCTCCCCCCTCTCCCCCATAAAGCTAGGTCCACTGCCCCTGGGAAATCTGCTCCCGGGTGTCCGAGGACTCCCACCGCTGCAGGGGCCCTGCCTTCGCCCAGCTCAGTCTGTGAAACCCCAGCAGGGAGGGAAAAGCCCTGGCCCTCCCACCCAGCTGCCCAGACCTGCCTGGCAATGCTTTAAAAAACAAGCAAGAACCCAGAAACCCCCCAGAGCCCAGGTGGGTGCTGCTGCGGGCAGGGGACCCAGCACACTGGGGCCTCAGCAGCCAGCCTCTTCCAGGTAGGGGGGACGTTCCGAGGCCTCCCCGGGGCCGTCGCTGGTGCCCACCGCACCRCCATCTGCCACAGGGCCTTGTGGGCAGTACTTGGGGTCGTATATCTGGCGGCCCAGGCCAAAGACCTGGCCGCTCTGGCTGGCCCCCTGTGTGTAGCCCATCTGCAAGGACATGGAGGAGCTGTCACACCTGTGCGTCCCCAGCTTGGTGTCATAGATGTGCCGCCGGGTCCCAGGCGCCGTCATGCCCACCTGCAGAGGGGGAGCRGGCCTCAGGGGAGGAGGGAGGGGCCTTCCATGGTCTCCCCCTGCTGCCCATCCAGACCCAGGACCCCCACTGGGCCCCCCAACCTCAGCAGACACTTCTGACTATGAGGAGGGGTTCTAGGCTGCCAGGGACCCTGTCCCTYGCTCAGCCCTGACTACTTAAAACCAGGAATGTCCGCCTTCCCCTTGACAGCCTCCGGCTGGGACTCCAAACCCATCACAGGACAGGTGGGACCCACTGGGCAGAAAAGATGAGAGTCCCAGATCTAAGAGTGTCAGATCTGAGGGACCCTAGGGCACAGAGCGGGGCTGTCACTTCCCCAGGCACACGCTGCAAGGGGACAGCAGCAGCAGTGGGAGGGTTCAACAGGCAGGAGGGACAGAGAGAAGGCTGGGCTGGCCGGCAGGGGGCCGGATGAGGCTGCGGGATGGCCCACCTGGCTGGCACACTTGTTGGTGCCCATCTGCAGGCTGATGGTGGAGTGGTCCATGGGTGGCAGGATGTGGTTCTTGGGGTCATAGAGATGCCTCCTGGTGCCATACGCCGTCATGCCTGACTGACTGGCGCACTTGTTGGTGCCCATCTGCAGAAAGTGGCTGGAGAGGTCAGTGGTCCCTGCCAGGCCTCCAGACCCTCAGGAGKTCAGGACTTGGGGGACATCTGGTGCCCACCTGCAGCCCGATGACGCACTGGCCCGCCTTCATGGTGGCATCATCAAAGTTCCGCTGCTGCCTCTCCGAGTACTTGACCCCGATGTCCACACTGCTCTGCAGCCCTTTTGTCTTGGCCTGGGGTGAGGGGAGCTGGGAGCCTCAGGAGGGGCAGGCACAGGGACACAGACACCCGGCCCAGCTCCACCTCCTCCTGCCCAGCCTCCTCCCCTCAGAGACCCCAAGCCCCTTCCCACGCAGGAGCCTGGCCCCAGGCTCAGCTTCCAGACCACCGGCTCCTGGACACTGAGGACACGTCTGCAGCAGGTCCAGGACCGTAGGACCCCTGGGCTGCCCCGGCACCAGACTGTGTCTCTGGCCGAAGGAGGACAGTGCTGGAGCCTCAGGGTGGCTCAGAACCAATGCAAACCCAGAAAAGGAAGAGCCTCCACACACAGACCCCCCACCGCGGTCCCCTCCAGCYTCACCTTCCCAGCCAGTGCCAGCAGGGCCACCTGGACCTGCGTGATGTTCCCACTCTCAAAGAGGTCGTTGGCCTCGAACAGGTCCACGGGGTTCATGCCGTAGCTGACCATGGCCTTGATGAAGTTGGAGAGGTTTTCTAGCTGGGAGGAGCCAGGGGAAGGACAGTGAGCGGCCCGACCCTCTGACASGGCCCCTGCCCGGCCCCTCCCACCAGCCAGCCCTCACCTGGTGCCAGTTCTGCATGGAGTGGTTGATCTTGGGCACAGAGCCCGGCTGGAGCTTGTTCATGAGCCTGAGAGGAGGGACACGGTGGGGCAGGAAGGCCGCGAGGTGAGTGGTCACCTTCCTGGGCAGCTTCAGTCCCTTTCTTACCAGACCACACCTCTGCCCAGCAAGCCCAGCTGCTCCAGGAGAGCCCTGGTGATACAGCCTGGAGCCCTGGGGTGGGGAGGGAATCTGGGAACTGCCATTTCAATTTGTGGTGTGCAAATCTGGAGATCTGCAGGGGACAAACAGGGTGCTGGGAGCCCTACCCCGGGGTCACAGCAGGATGCCTGGCCACACACCTGTCAGCCCAGCTGCCCAAGTGACTGCGGCAGGAGGCAGGAGTCTCAGGCCAGCTCAGCCGGGACCCATCTGCTCAGTGCTGGGTGCCTGCCTAGCAGAGAGGGCGGGGTTTGCCCGGCACCAAGAGACCTGGCCCCCAAAACAAGAGGAAGAGAAGCAGGAGCAACTCGGACCCTCAGGAGGGCAGCTGGGGCCACTCGGGGGTGCCCCGGCAGGGTGCACTCACGTGCATAAGATGACCCCATCCTTCAGACCCTTCTGGAAGTCGGGGCCGATGGAGAGGCCCGTGAGACCCTCGATCCAGGTGCGAAGCTCTGCCTCCTTCTGAGGGTCGTATTTAGACAGGAGCTGGAGGAGCAGAGGGCACTGGGCTGAGCCGGCGAGGACAAGGACAGGGACTCCAAGGGAAAAAGAGGCAGAGGGGCCTGGAGGTTCCCACCCTGTGGGAGCAGACATGTCCAGACTCCCCTGGTGACAGTGGCCCTGGCTCCACCTCCAGGCTCCGGACCGGCAGGTCCAACCCCCACATCTCACCACCTCACGCTTTCCAGTCACCACACCCAGGATGCTCACCACCGTGTGCAGGTGTGCAGCCATCGCCACAGTCGATTCCAGAACATTTCATCACCCAAAAATAACCCTGTCCCCCATGCCCCCCGGCTGGCTCCCACRAGTCCACTTCCAAAGTCTTGGACTTTCCTATCCTCGCATCATCTGGCACTGAGTCACACGCTTGTATCTAGCTCTCACCAAGCAGAGGACCTCAGGTCCACCACGCTTCAGTGCATCACCTGGCTCTCGATCGTGGTGGAGGGACACTCCAGGGGGATGGACCATGGTATGCGTCCATCCATCTGCTGGTGGACATTTGGGCTGCTGCCTTTCAGCTGTGTGGATAGGGCTGCTGGGGACAAGGTGTGGTTCCTTTGGCCACCTGTCCTCACACTCCTGTCTGAGTCACTTATTGGGGAACGACTGGATTCTGTTTCTGGAACCAGCTGTGCCAGCTCCTGCCCCAGGGCCTTTGTACAGACTGTTGTGCTGACTCAGGTGCTTTGTGGCCAGGCTTGAAAGGTCCCTGATGGTCCAGCTGCTTCATGCCCAACCAGCCTTCACCTCCGCCTCCCTCCCTGGGCGCAGCTCCCTCCCGGCTCTCTGGTCCTCCCCCTGCATGCCTGCACAGCAGGACAGAAAAGCTCTGACCCCACACCACTGCTCTCCCCCACCGGCTCACAGCCCTCCACCCAGGGCAGCACCTCAGACCAAGAGAAAAGCTGGGATGGACSAGAGGCCGGCAAATCCAGGCAGGTGTGTGGCAGATGCCGCCAGCCCCAGGGCAGCCCTGAGAAGCTGATGCTGGCCCTTGGTCAGGACTGTCCAGCTGGGTGGTCTGTGCTACAGATGCCCTGTCCTCCTTTCTCAAGAAAGAAAAGGGCCCCTTTCCTTCCTCTGCTCCTACACCCCCAGGGGTCCAGGAGGAGGGCATAAGTGTCCTCTGCAGACCTGACTTCCCAGGTGACCGTGGACAGATGTCCCCCTCCCAGCCTCAGTTTCTGCCTCTTCGCATGGGACAAGCTGCCTAAGGGTCCTCTGCGATGCGCCCCACTTCCTGGCTCCTGCCTCAGGCCCTGTGACTGGGATCAGGACCTGGCTGCACAGGGCAGTCAGCAGGAGGCCTGTGAGTCCACCTGCCTGCCCYGGCCCCTGGTCTCCAGGTTCCCAGGCCCTGGGGCAGCCTTTGGGAGGGGGGCGGCTGCAGGCGGTGATCTCCAGGCTGAGAGGCCTGTGGGGCACCAGGCACGCCCTAACCAGCTGGGCTCCGTCCCTGACCGCTCTGGTGACCAGGGCTCCAGGTCTGGCCCTGCCCACAGTGGCCTTCCTCCCTGGCCAYGGGCCTCCTACAGCACAAACTTCTCACCACAAACTGCCAGGAATGTGGCTGTGCCTCCCTGCTAAATCAGGACCAGCTGTTCCGGGCAGTCCAGGCCTCGTGGCCAGCTGGGGCCCTAGGGCACAGCTGATCAGAGAYACACTGGATGCTGGCCTGCCCCAGCACTGTCTGGCCAGGGTGGGCGAGGCCTGGGGATCATCCCTGGGAGGACGGTGGGTGCTGAAGCCTCAGCCAGTTTGCCTCAGGGTGGACCCTCCAGTGCCCTGCAGGCTGGTCAGCGCCGCGCCCATCCTCCCGTCCCACAAACTGAGGGCTGGTCACAGGGAGCCGCCGGGCTGCTCCTTTGGCCTGCGGCCTCACCCCTCCAGAGCAGTACTGAGCTGCCCCAGCCCAGGGTCTCAGAGGATTKCGGCTCCCCCCTTCTCTGTCCACGTCAGACCGCCCAGGAGAACCAGGAGTCCAGGGTCCACCTGTGCCTGGGCAGCAGCAGCAGCCTCTCAGGGCCTTGCCCTGCCTCTGCACCCACAGACGGCACAGGTGGGGACCCCAGAGTTGGCACAGGGTGTGCGCGGAGCCTGTGGGCCTCAGTCTCCCTGCTGTGAAGGGCAGGGGAGGACTGGAGACCCCGGCGGCTGCTGGAGGCTGGTGGGGGCTCCCTTGGCCTGCCCAGGCAGGTTCCTGGCCCAGGCCGGGGGCAGGGAAGCCRGCTTCCCCCAGCTGACAGGGCCCCAGAGCCTCAGGCCAGGTGGGTGGGGGTCACCAGCCCCGCCCCTCCCCTCCTTCCTTAGCAGCCCTGCTGTGCGACCCTCTAAGGGTGTCTGCCCCTCTGAGCCCAAACTAGAAGCGTGTCTTCAGGTGACCTCGGGGGCCGCTCGGGTTTCCAGGGGAGGACGCCCACACGTTTGGGGCMGGTGCAGGGGATCTAGCTGCCTCCGGTGTCTCCTGGGCCCCAACTTCCTCCTTCGCCCCCTCCCAGGTGTTGGAGGCCTGGAAATTCCTGGGGGGCTCCTGGGGGGGTCCCCCGGCCCTTCTCAAACCCGCCGGCCCCGCCCCCTTCCCGAGCCCGGCAGAGGAGGGGCTGGGGGTCCCCGCGGACCCAAGGGCCTTCTCGGAGCGGGGCGCGGGGCGCGGGGCGCTGTTCCCCGGACGTCGGCGCCCGCGGCCTCCCGCGCGACCCTGCCCGACGGCGCGGCCACTCACCCGGCTGCGGACCTCGGCCGAGAGCCCGTACGCGGGCCCCTTGTTGAACTGCGAGGAGCTCATGGCTGCACGGCCACCGCGGGACTGGTCGGCGGCACCGCCCCTCCGCCCGGGGCCGCCCACTGGGCGCCGCGCCTGCCCTTATAAGGCTGTCACCCGCCGTCCGCCCCGTCCGCCCGCCCGCCCGCGGGAAACTGAGGCCCGAGGCCGGCGCCTGCAGGAGTCCGCCAGTCCTGGGGCGACCCGGGAGGAGAGGAGCAGATGGGCAGGTGGGCAGCTCCGGGAGGCCGTCGGCCCGGGCGCCCCGTAGGAGGAGGGGCAGGTGGCAGAGCGGAGCGGGGAGCCTGGGGCTGAGTCGTCCCCCCCCCAGGACCCCCGCRGGCCGGGTGCTCGCGCTGTCCAGTGGACAACAGAACGCACAGACTCGGCGCTGTTTGCTTCCTCACCCTGGAGTGTTGGCCAGAGGAGCCCTGTCTTCAGGGACAGCCCCTCAATAGGCCAGAAGCAGCCAGGCACCCTACCCACCCTCTCCCCTTTGAGAAGCCAGTGGAAGGAAGGGCCAGGTCTGGGGGAGTCTGGAAGGAGAGCGCGGACGATAAAGAAAGGGCTGACGGGGCGTGGAACGTGGGGCTTTGAGGCACTAGTAGGAGTTGGACACATCTGATAAGTGACAGGTTGGGCTTCTGGAGTGACCCCTTCCCATTCCCAGGAGGGGACTCCCCCATGATGCTCTGCTCCCTGGATGTCTGTCCCCTTTTTTCCCATCTGTCATTGTCCCATTTCATCTGAGTTTGGCTCCTTGCCAGAGGGTTTAGGCAAATCCTTCCCTTCCTGGGTGTCAGTCTGATCGTCTGTAAAAGGGGGACCAGTGGACAGTGGGGGGCTCAGCCTAGTTTATTGGTGTCCAGACAGGGCATGGACTGTGAGGGTGGCCCTGTGCAAGTCCGCCCGCACCCTACCATCTGTGGCTTCTCGGTGCTGTGGTTGCAGGCCCWGGAAAGGCGTGGACAGCATCTGCCCAGCGTGTGCCCCGCAGCACCTCAGGGCCTCCGTCTCACATCCCAGCCCCTGGTGCTTGTCCAGCAGCCTCCCGAGAGCCAGTGGGACTCCATCCTGGGCGGGCTCAGAAGGGGGCGGCCCAGGATGCCYGCTGTGCCAGCCATGGCTGCAGCAGGAGGTGCAGGGCGGCAAGGGGTCCAGGGAGGGCTGGCCGGGGCCCCTGCACAGAGGGACTCTGGGTGGCTCCAGGCCCCAGAACTGCCCTTCGCAGCCCCCGAGGCACGACAGCTCCTGGACCCGCCTGGGTCTCCTCACGACGCAAGGCCACCCCCCAGGCACCCAGAGGCACCCAGATACAGTGAGAGGCTTAGACCTGGGCGAGCAGGACAGAAGCCCCTCCTGCCCCTCCTGCCCTGTGGCCACCGGCGCCSAGGGCAGCTGGGTCTGGCTGTGTCCCCTGGCAGTGCCCCGGCCTGAGCTTCCGGGGGCACAGGGGCACCCCCAGCTGGATGTGCCGATCAACCCTGATTGTGAGTGAGAAGGACCCACCTGGTCTGGCACCCTCAGGTGCACTGAGACAGGCGGGTCCTGCCTGGGTCTCCTCTCCCTGCGAGTTCTCTGAACCCTGAACAGGCGTGAGAAACCGGGGTGCGCYGTGCGTGGAGGGCGCGGGTTCTGAAGGCTGGACCAGCCCTTGGCTGACGGCATGCGGTGGCGARGGTCTGATGTGACATTCTTGGCGTGGTGCTGGGGACGGGCCCAGGGCCTCTGGGGGGCTGGGTGACGCTGTGCCGTGGAGCCCCACGGGTCGTCCAGGCTGCTCAACTGGCCTCAGTCCTTCCTGTGGGCCTCCCCGAAGGCCCCGTGAGGCTGCCCAGCGCTGGAAGCTCTGCTCCGCTTTCTCGGGCCTGTGAACTCAGCACGGCCTTCACAGAAAGTCCTCCAAGAAATCAAAGGGTGGAAAGGGTTCTGCCAGGCTGAGCTGCGCCGCGCCRGCTCCCAGCGCCGACCACGCACGCCGGGCACCGCGGCAGGCAGCCTCGCAGGCAGAGCCGGCCCGGCCACTGGTGGGGCTGAAGACACGGCCTGGCTGGCACTCAGCGTGCCTGACCCCGGCCGTCAGGACTCAGACGTCCCAGAGCTGGAGGTCCTGGGGTCCTGGCACTGCAGAATGCTACCACTCTAGAAACGGAGACCCCAGACTCCCCAAGGACACTATTCTGTGTGATCTCCAGACTCTGAAGCTTTCTAGTCCCATGGCAAAGCCTGGGTTCCACTCCTGCTCCCCACTTGACTGTGTGACTTTACAAAATCACTCCACCTCTCTGTGCCTCCCCTTGTGGAGAAGGGGTGTGATAACACCTGCTGGAGGGGCTGTCGTCAACATGCGGTGGGTCATTGGTGAAGCCCTCAGAAGGCGCCCAGCGGGGCGAGAGGGCTTGTGGCGTCTGCAGCTGTCCAAAATCTCGGGAACACCGGCCAAAGAAACCTGGCAGGGCCCAGGGACTTCCCGGCTCTCTCTGTGGGGACCCTGTGGCCACCTTATTCACCTTAAACCTCAGCGTGCGCTGCTACCCTGTGGGGCTGGCGCTGTAGGTGGCGGTGTGGTGACCCTGCAGCAGCCACTCCAGGGACAGCCTGGGTGCGCTAGAGGGTCAGGTCAGAGCAGCCGGCGCTGGCCTGGCCACCGGGTGTGCCTGCTCCCTCCAGTCTGTCAGTGGCACACTGGCAGGAGGGCCCCAGAATGATGGTGGGTGTGGCCAACGCGCAGGAAGCCGCAGGCCCTGGAGTCCAGCCTGGGCAGGTGGGGGGGCCCCTGTCTCAAGGTGAAGGGAGATACAAAGCGCTCGGGATGCAGCTCCTGTTGTGGCTGCCCTGGTTCCCTCCTCCCCTGACCCAGACCCCAACCCAAACCGGTAGATGGCCACAGGAGCCCAGAGGGCGCTGCCCACCAGGGGGGCTTGGAAGGCGGCCTTCCGGGCCCCAAGGCTGAGGAGCCGCCACGCCACCGCGCCTTGAGTCGCGGCGGCACCCTCGGCTCTCCTTGCTCCCTGTCCCTGCAGGTCGCAGAGCTCCGTGAGGGCCCGAGAGGCCTGCAGTGGTCACAGCTGAGTCCCCGATAGGAGCACAGGCAGTGGGACACTGAAACTCATTTCCCCAACCCTATGTGCCTCTGTTCGCCACCGGCCTGGGTGGCAAGTTGTCCCACGGGGGACAAGCGCTTGAGCGGCTCTTCCTCCTCCCGCGCTGCTGCCTGGCTTTGGAGGGTGGGGTGGAATAACTGGCATACAGTAGGCACTCAATGAATGCTAGGTCCAAGGTGTCTCCAGGATGCCTGAGGTGTCCACCAGGCTGGGACACTCGTCCGTGCGCGGGAACAGAGTGGGGTTGGGGCGGTGCAGGTGAGACCCAGCGCTAAAAAACTCCTGGACTCTGCAGCACGTGCAGGGCCAGCTCGGCGCAGCCCGGTCTTGGCCTGCGGTGTCCTGCCCACTTGTCACCCCCAAAGACCGAGGGGGTACCATAGCACGCAGCAGATGCCGCCTGACAAGGGGAAAAGGCCAGGGGAAGGTTTCTACAACCTGTAAGGGGCAGAGTTGGGAATTGGCAAACGCAGCAGGGTCCGGGCAACACAGCTTTATTCTCAGGCATGCAGCAGGCGCTAGATAATTGCTTCTGCCAAGCATTGTTGCGCCAAAGGACGCAGCACGTAGCTCATCCTATTGGCGGATGTAGCCGTGTAGGCGGGGCAGCCCCTATGACGCTCTCGCCCTATAACGACATGGCATCCTCACGGGAGGAAAGGTGTTCAAAAATATGGAACGCTTCACGAATTTGCGTGTCATCCTTGCGCAGGGGCCATGCTAATCTTCTCTGTATCGTTCCAATTTTAGTATATGTGCTGCCGAAGCGAGCACAAACCATAGCGTGGCGCTTCCGTTATTTAAAGCCCCAAACGAAAATTACTTTACAGTTAGGTGATTTTTTTGAATAGTTTCTACGTCCCACCACTTCTCAGAATAGCCTTTGGAAATATATTCGTTGTGATCATGTTTACTTTGCGCTTCTCGGATCATGTCCCAAAGTCGTCACAAGTGGACTAACTTAACCGACCGAGAGCGGCCTTGTAGCCGCGGAGGCTGGTGGGAGGGCCCATGCAAAAGAACTCGGGCGGGGCCTCCGCCGGCGGCCACGGGCTTCCCAGGATGCCCCGCGCACACGGCGGCGCTCTGGCCTGTGCGCTCGCTAGCGTCGCAGGCCCCGGCGGACGCGCGGGTGAAGGCTAAGGCGGCGGCGGCCGTGGGCGGCGCGGCGAGGGCGGCGGTGGCCGGGACGCGCCTGGGGCACCCGCCGGCCGCTAGGGCGACGCGGGCGGCATGTCGGAGCACGCGGCGCCCGCGGCCCCGGGGCCCGGGCCCAACGGCGGCGGCGGCGGCCCGGCCCCCGCGCGCGGCCCGCGCACCCCCAACCTGAACCCCAACCCCCTCATCAACGTGCGCGACCGGCTCTTCCACGCGCTCTTCTTCAAGATGGCTGTCACCTACTCGCGGCTCTTCCCGCCCGCCTTCCGCCGCCTCTTCGAGTTCTTCGTGCTGCTCAAGGTGACCGGCCTCGACCCCCGACCCCGACCCTTGACCCCGCTGCCCGCCGGCCCCCTGCTGCACCCCGAGGCCTCACCCTGCTGCCTGCGACCTCTGACCCCGGTCGCCTGCCGGTGGTGCCCTGGGGCCGCCATAGTAGGCCGAGTGTGGTGGTCGCTGGCCCTGGCCGCCCCCAGCCCCAGGCCTGGAGCCCCGCCCTGACCAGCCGCGGCTTTTCCCCCGCCCTTTGACCCCTGACTTGGCATCTGGGATACTCAGCCCTAGGACCCCTCCTGGCAGGTCCTGGGTCTCCCCTGTGGACAGTCTGCTGGGCGTCCACTAGTGTCTTCCCCCTGATGGGGTCTCCCTGTTCCGGGACCTTCTGCTCAGCTTCACAGGGCAGTGTGTGGACTTGGCCGCGGTCACTGCTAGAGTTAGTGCCTAAGTCATGGCCACCACTCCTCGGGCCTGCTTAGGGAGCTCTGGGCTCCCGTGACCA